GCTCTCTCTCTCTCTCTCTCTCTCTCTCTCTCTCTCTCTCTCTCTCTCTCTCTCTCTCTCTCTCTCTCTCTCTCTCTCTCTCTCTCTCTCTCTCTCTCTCGACACTACCACTCTTCTTCATCATTACGCCTTCTTTTCTTTCTCCTTATTTTCTTCATTTTTTTTCTTTTCTTCCTCTGCTTTCTTCGCCTCCTCTTCCGCTTTTTTCTTCGCCTCTTCTTCCGCTATCTTCTTCGCTTCTTCCTCCGCTTTCTTCTTCGCTTCCTCGTCCGCTTTCTTCTTTGCCTCCTCTTCTTCCGCCTTCTTCCTCGCCTCTTCTTCTTCTGCTTTCTTCTTCTCCTCTTCCGCTTTCTTCGCTTCTTCTTCTCTCCTTTTCGTATCTTCTTCGCGGAGGCTGAGGAGCGTAACGCTGGCTTCCTCGAGTTTCTTCTGCAGGTCGGCGATTTCGGTGCGTTTGGCCTTCGGGAGACAAGGGGCACGGTGTTAGAAGTCACGTGGTAGGTGGTAGGTGACAGGTGTTAGAAGTTAAGTGTCAGGTGGTAGGGATCACGTGGTAGGTGTTAGGTGTTAGCGGTCACGTGATAGGTGCTACGTGATAGAGGTAAGGTGCTAGGTGTTACGTGGTAGGTCTTAGGTGTTACAGGTCACGTGGTAGGTGTTCGATGTCACGCGGTAGGTGTTAGGTGTTAGAAGTCACGTGGTAGATGTTAGGTGTTACAGGTCACGTGGTAGGTGTTAGGTGTTACGAGTTATTTGTTAGGCGTTTAGCTGTGTTAGGCGGTAGAGATTATATGTTAAGTGTTAGGTCTTAGATCCGATATGTGTTAGATGTGTTATATTTCAGATCTGATGTGTTAAGAATGTTAGATAGATAGGTTTCGTGCTCGTTAGGTGTGCCATCAGTTATAATCTGTGTTACATGTACTACTGTCCTGTGATATGCACCTGTAAACTTAAATATAAATCCACAAACCTGATATATCACACGTTAAATACCAAGAAAAAAAAAAAAAAAAAAACTAAATAAAACAGAAATAAATAAAACGAAATAAAACAAATAAATAAAACAAAAAACACACAAAAAAAAAACAAGAGAATACCCAAATAAACAAATAAATAAGCAATAGATTTCTTACGTCGACGTTTCCTTGAATAGATTTCAGGGTATCGAGTTTTCCTTTGTTGGCGGACAGGAGGTCATTTTGCTGCAGAGAGAAGGCAACATTAGACGGTTATTCTTGTACAGAAGGATGGCTTTGCTTGTATATATTCAGTAAATATATATATATACATATACATACATATATATATGTGTGTGTGTGTGCGTATATATACATATATACACACATACGCACATACACACACATATAATATGTGTGTGTATGTATATACATATATATATATATATATATATATATATATATATATATATATATATATATATATATATATATATATATATATATTTATATATACATATATATACATACACACACACACACACACACACACACACACACACACACACACACACACACACACACACACACACACACACACACACACATATATATATATAAGAGGAAATGGAATGCATTAGTATCGTTGGATATATACACATTTACCTTACAAAATAAAAGGAAGAGGAAGAGGACAAAGAATAAAAAAGAAAAAAAAGAAGAAAGAAAAAAAATCAAGGGGGAGAGAGAAACAGAAAAAATACAAAAAAGGGAAAGAAGAGGAAAAAACACAAAGAGAAAGAAAAAGAAAAAGAAAAGGAGAAGAAGAAAAGAAGAAGAAGAAGAAGAAGAAGAAAAAGAAGAAGAAGGAAAAGAAGAAGAAAAAGAAGAAGAAGAAAAAGAAGAAGAAGAAAAGAAGAAGAAGAAGAAGAAGAATGAGAATGAAAAGAAGAAGAAGAAGAAAAAAAAAAGAAAGAAGAAGAAGAAGAAAACCAATTACCTCTTTGAGCTGTCTTTCCAGACTCTCAACGTCGTTCTTCATGGGATCGATTGATTTCTGGCAGTTGGATAAGTGATAATTTCTAAAATGGAAAAAAAAAAAAATAGATAATGCATAAACCTACACAGGTCTACACACAAGCAAATGCGTACATGTACACACAGTTTCATACATTTATACATGCATGAATATGTGCATACATAATTTCATGCATACTAAATGCGTTCACGCATATATACATACGCTCAAAACACACATTCACACAGGTATGACAGGCATATATGCAATGCCATTCAATCAAGCAAACATGCGAAAAGAAAAGAAAGGAAAGAAAAAAAAAACAAGAAAAAAGAAAGAAAAGAGGAAAAACAAATATATATAAACAAACGGGCGTAAACAAAACAAGAGGTATTCGAGCAAATACAAACAACAGTATTCAAGCATTTGTAAATATGAAAGAAAAAAAAATATATATGAGCTTAGACGATCCACCTTCCCCAGCATACCAGCGTAGAGAACACGGCCCAATCATATATCAACA